ATTAATGAAACTGAGTATGTCAAGTATAAAATATTTAGAAATTAGTTGATTACTAAGGAGCTAAGAGTCAGGAGGGCAAACAAAATATGCTGAAGTCATTCATGCAACTGTTATCTTACCCATAATCTCATCAGAGAAACAACTTTCTCTCCCAGTGAAAGCAATTGGACTGCTTTTAAGACAAACTATGTAAGAAATCTACAATTTATGTTCAGATGCCTTTATATTCCCCACAACACCATAACTTATTCAGCAATCTGTGCACTCCATTTAAGGGAAGTGTTTAAATATGCAATTTGATTTTCATATATTCTTGGCATACCTAAAAGTTTCTCTTAAAACGATGTCAAATGCACAAGAGAACCCTTCTCTGGCTCAGAAGGAAAGGTGGTCGTGTGTGGAAATTATTTAGCACAGTTTGCTGAGTGTCACCTGAGCTTTCCTCACTCCTGCAGGTGCAAAACCCAGGATAGTACCCTAAATCAACCGGGAGATAAGGGGGAGTCTAGCCCCGAAACATGCTCACGAGACAGCCAGCTGCAGTATTAACAGGGAGGCTCACTGGACACGGCCACCCTCCTTCACACAGTGACATTTCAAGGCCAGTTCCATCAGGGAGGTAGAGGCAGTTAGGACTTCACATCAGCTGGATCTTCCCAAAGAACGTCTGATGCCCCTGACAGTTTGATTCACCTAACTGAGGGTTTGGGGTTTTGAAGTGAAAGGAAACAAACAAAAGACTAGAACCTACACCTCCATCCAAAAAACCTGACCGTCTCTCAGTCCATCTGAAAAAATAATTGCTATTTATCTTCAGGGCAATTAATTGTGCTAGTGGTTTGTTACAGATTTCATTTTAGAGTCAGAATTTCAAGAGAATGAAGTGGTGACATAGACTTGCTTCTCCTGTGGGGAGGAGAGCAGAGACAGCATATGTAAGCCCACGATGGCCTCTGATCTTCATATTGCTGGAATGGGGAGATGAACAATCTCAGCTGTTTACCGTGCCTGAAGCAAAGAACAAATAGAAGATTCCAATATGAAAGTCAAGTTATGAAGACGTGTACACTAGTGAGCAGCCCAGAAGGGACTGGAGGTGTATTCGAATTACCAGTACCCTTGCGAGTCTGAGACTAATTGATAGATATTGTGCTGAACATTTTGGGGTCACTTCAGTTATGGGTTAACATTGATGCAGAATCTTCTAGCACAGTTTTAGAAAGCTTTGATGACATAAGTGTGCTTGCTTTTCCTTAGCGCTCAGAAGCTAATAGAAAGCTGGAGCTAACCTCCAGTGGAAGGGAAACCTTCTTACAAATCTAGAGTTTGGAAGTAAAAACCTGAGTGCTTAACCCATCATTTACTTTGCACCTCATTCTTTTTCATGTTACCTTTTAAAATGGGAATAACAGTATCTCCAGCCAATGTCACCAGCGCACAGTTACCATGAGGCAGAACATAAAGTGCTTACTGCAGTGACTTTCATAGTAAGGGCTGGATAAATGTTAGCGTTTATTTTCAGTAGTTCATACTCCTGACAAAGCACTGTTTCTCAATCCCCAATAATCAGGCCTCATAATTTATCACTGCCAAGAACTGCTCTGTGCTGGTTAAGATGTTTACCAGCATCTTTGATTGCTCTACACGCCAGGTGCCAGTAGCATTTTTGAGCAATTTGTGACGACCACGCACATCTCCAGACATTACCAAATGTTCCCAGGGCTAAGAACCATTTTTCCGGAGCGCAATACCATTGTGAGTGATACTGATGATGGGCGTTAAAAAAAAATTTAAGATGTGCTGTGTACATGGACCAACTCCCCACAATGAATATAATTATTATATACTTCAAACATGTACTAATAACAATAATGAAAAAAAGAACTACAGTCAAAAGGCCTCTTGTTCCTATTTGCTATGAGCAATTATTAAATAATCTCCTGGATACATTTTGCTAGTTTTTTTTCTTATATGTTTCTCCTGAGCTCCAAGGAAGAACAAACATACTTATGTCAGCAAAGCTTTCTAAAACCATTCTAGAAGACACGGTAAGAAGAAATAGTAACATCTTTCTGCCTGAGAGAACTTCTATAATATTTTTGTATTTTCTAAGTTCTATGCAAGCTGCTCCATACAGTGCCCAAAGGAAACAGTGAATGCAGTGGTCAGCACACGCCGGTAATTCACCCCCTTTCTACTGGCCGCTGTGTGAGATGATCTCACAGCTCCTAGAAATCACTGTCTGGACCAAGAATGATGATATCTTAGGAGACAAAGGATTCTCAAATGAAACCTAGGTCACCACTTGGACGGCCTGAAGCCATCTCTATTCTCAAGACTCTGGGTGAAGTAAGCTAATGAATTCCTTTCCTGCATCAACCGGGTTGACTCCTGCTTGCCAGGCAAATGCCAGGTAATTTAATACAATCTCTGCAGCAGCAATCTTGTGAGGTAAGTCACATTTGTGCCCCTTTTACAGGTGGCAACTGAAGCTCAGCTTTCATTGTTTCTACAGCCAGGATATGTCAGAATTTTACCTCGTGTCCTCCAATGCCTAGTCCAGTGTATGACACCAGCCTCACTGCTGGCTTTGGCAGTTTAAGTGGGGACCACTGGGCAGGAATAAGCTGAATGTGAGCAGAGCATTGTTCCTGTAGCCTACAGAAGGACACCTAAAAGTTTTGCAGACGCCTGTTAGACACGTGGATACTGGAGTGACTCAGGCCCTGCTCGTTTCATGATGCAAGTGAGGAAGACATTACAATAGTTAACAGGAAATTGCCTTGTTTTGAATACATCCAAAAATAGCCAAGAGAAAAAAACTCATCTTCACTAATAAAGTACAGCAGATATGAAACTTTCACGCTTGGGGAAACACGAATGATCTTATTATCCGGAGCATCTTGATGGTAACTATAAAAATTCATTTTTATTTGAGTTTCAGGCAAAATATGAAGCAGTAGCTTTACCTTGGGTTTCACCCTGTCTGTTTCTTCCAAGGCCAAGAACTGTTCCAGAGTAAGCATACAGACATGAAAGAGACTGCTCAGAAGCCTGGCACCATCCTGGGGTACCTGTGGCCATCACGGCTTTTACCCCAGAAGACCTTGCAGGAAGTTTATTCAGATAAACTTACAGGAAGGTGAGCACCGTGTCCAAGGTCAAAGGCCAGTAAAACACCAGGCCCCCCTGACTTCCACACCAGTACGCTACACACTGCCCGCAGTTTGAAAAGTGAGGAGACCCTAAAGAGCAGGGTTCCCCACCACCTCAGCCTCTCACAGGATGGCCGCTGCAGAAGAACGCTGTTCAATGCCAGCAAATAGCCCAGCTTCTGAGCTATTTCAGGTGCAACACTGTGTGGTCTGAGTTTGTAGCTATTACAATCATCTAACTGCTGGAGTTCATGCATAAAATCCCCCAGGACAGATCACGAAGAGGCTGACAGAGTCATGGAACGAAATGTTTTCATTTTCCAAATCAGCTTTGGGTCAAAGACCAGTGAAATAATTCTGGAATTCATGTCGCCAATGTGTTTATTTTTCACCTACCATCTCTCTTACCCAAGCGACCTCAGCATCTTGCCCCATCTTGCCCCTTCTATTATAGCATCCACGGTGAGGTCAGAGTAAGTGACCTTTATGAAATATGAGCACAATTCCACGGTGCAAACACACAGACAACATGAAGTAAGCTTTTTACAGGACATAGGTAGTATTTCCCTTATACCTAGAATATTAAGGTGATAATTTAAAGAAGTTTCATAGATGCTAGGCAAGCAGCACTCTACCTCTGAGTTACTACCCCAGTCCTGCAGGGTTTTTGTTTTTTTTATGTGATGATCTCTGTGATCTGGGAAGGTGACTAACCTACCTCTTAGTTCTTGAAGATAACATAGACAAGAGAAGAGGTTTATGGGAAATAAGAATTTTAAAAACTTGTTTGAATCGTTGTAAGAACATCAAATAGAACATCTTTTGGAAAAGTAAATTTTCTATAATGAGCTCTGTGTAACATGAAGTAGGTAAATTAATTAGAAGGGAGGATTAGTGCCAGCTAGTCCCAGGAACTGGGGTCCTGGGTGGTGGTTGGGACTTCTGTTTTTACTTCCCTTACATCAAATACCACGCTGCTGTAAGAACAGCATACGTCACGGACTTTGTTTTACCATCACGAGTTGATTGCTTTCAGTTTGAATGTAATTTCAGACCACACGCAGATGCACTTGAATTTCTTAAAATTAGTCACTTGAAAATTTAAAATACAAAATTGAGCTGTGGTGTTTCAAAAACAGCCCAAACCCTGAGGGAGGAAGACTGGGGGCAAAGCAAATGAGGTACTGCCCAGGGGTCCCCTTACCACAGAGCTCAACCCAGGAGTTGCAGTCTCTCTCTCTCTCTCTCTCTCTCTCTCTCTCTCTCTCTCTTCCTCTCTCCCTCTCGTCTCTCTCCCTTCCTATATTAACCTCTAAAAGGAACACTGAGAAGCCCACATGTGGTCACCGATTTGACAACAGGGACAATATGCATGGTTTTAAGGTCTTCCAGTGTCAGGGAGCACCGTACATGGACCTCAAACTGCAACATGAAAGCTGTCAATGGCCCCTTGTATTTATACTCCCTCATATTAATGCCTCTGCAGAAACATAACGTGAAAAACAATTAATAATGTGGAAGCCTTCCAAAAACCAAGAAGGTGGCCTCTGCTTAGCTTAACCCAGTATGTAGAACATGGTTGGCACCTTCTTTAGTTCACCTTCAGTTTGTGTTGTGGAATCAAACAGTGTAATGAAAATTCACATTACATGGTGAAATACTAGAATCCTCTTCAGGAAAAAAAAGTCAGACTGAATACATGGGGATTTTACAGCACCCCTCAGGTTTTACAGTCACAGCTCTACAAACCTCCTCAAGTTGGATCTCATAGGTGGACCTCAATAATATGAACTTGGAAAAGCAAACAAAGATCTGGAAAAAGTCATTAAAAGCCACAGCACTCACCTCCCCGCCTCAAAAGTGAACCACGTGGTATCTCTTCCATACCGCCGCAGGGCGCTTAGCGGCCAAGAGACCAGTTTGACTCTGGGATTCTGGATGTCCCAAAGACAGATATACTCATATGTAATCTGCAAGGCACATTCGCCATGTACATCTAAGTTAGGAGATGGCATCAAATACACATTGAATCTCTCTGGGAGAAAAACAAAAGGTTAGTCTCAAATCCCAGGAACAAAATATCACAGACACTGTAGAAACACAGAGCATTCAAAACTAATTCAAACTCATATTTTAGGACTTCATTGAATATTCAAGAAGATTAACAATTCTCATAAATGGACAGTCCTGGAAAATGATTTTTAATGCAAATCCTATTAAATAATATAATAATAAAATATACTACTTGTCAACATACACTATAAACAATTATAGGGCCATTTTTAGACTTTTAAAATTTTCATAATAAAAACTTTTGAATGCCAGTGGAAAACTAAAGCAGTGAAATGATAAAGTTGTGATTAAAAGCTTTTTTTCCTGCTAAGCACATATTAACTAGCCTCACATTTTTGTGTTCATAAGAGATACAGGTGCAAAATAATTGTCACACGATCTAGTTATACTAAACTTTTATTAATCAACTCATAATTTATACAGCTCATTTATATAAATGAGTAAAGCTTTACCCCAAATTATTTAAATAAAATTCCACACAAATTCTATATACTCAACTGACCAGCGTTTTTGGGGGAAAATCAATAGATATATTTGAACTAGTTTTAAGAAAATGCTCTCTTTACCCACCCTTTCTTTGGATGATTTTGTAAAAAATGTAACCAAAATCACTCTAAATGTATTCTTTTGATTACTACCACAGGCTATAGATACAATTACTACATTTTTGCTATATTCCTAGAAAATTCATGAACATAAAAAATGACAGTCAAAATCTTTCAGTGATATATGAAGCAAAATACTATTACTATAGCAAACACATTTCCACTTAGTCATCATTAATATCGATTGTCTATATCTGACAAAACAGTGTGGCATGAACAATTAAATCTTAGTGGTTTTCCAAGCTAATTATTTTTAAAAAGATAATCATTACAATTTTCATAGAATTTACTTTAGTAAATACAGTAGTAATGTTAAGATTGTGTTCATAAAATGTATTCATGAATCTATAATCCAAATTTTCTAAGTCATTTAAAACTTTCAATTGTCAAATATTTACTTCTTTTGAATTAACCACTACTTTTTAAAAATGCATTCTAATGGAGCATACTTCTCCCTTGAGAGGTCTAGACCAAGCAAGAAAGACTGATTTCCTTAAGTGTCAAGTAAGAAAGAGCATCATCCAATCATTTGCTTAAAAGCAAATTTATTTCCTATTACCTGTAACTCGCTCAAGAATCTTAGTAGTGGGAGTAGCAATTTTAATTATAATTACTTGAAGTTATACAAATTAAGAATGTAAAATACTTCAAAAGACATGGTAGGATTTCATAATAATCCCTAGTAATTTTATGCCAGAGATACGCTTATTTCTACTTGGCAGAAGAGGAAACTTAGATACAGAAAGCCAGCATGGGAAAAGTAAATCTCAAGCATAATGAATTTTGAATTCTATTTGCAGTGCTATCAGGGTACTGCTCGGCAAATAAAATGTGTTAAAATTAAGTGCTGATCTGAGCACTCTACGAAACAGGGATCACCTCAACCTGGCATGTTGCTTCCCTGTGTTCTGCTTCCAGATCTCCATCTGGGAGGCTCTGGGTGTGTCCTCTCCGGGCAAGGTTAGCCTGCCCTAGTGAATCATGAGGGGAGGGGTCTGGAGAATGGGCGGATATCCCTGGTCAATGACTTAACTTCACTGTAGCTCAGTTTCCCAATCTACACAGAGGCTCCTCTGAATTAAGCAGCACTTCCAGGGCTTGGTCAGTAACACTTCAGTGGAGATGGATTATGGCACCCATGGTACATTCAATAGAGCCACAGACTATAAATGTGTCATGAAGACACCGTCCCAATAAAGAAGGAGACCATCTCTGACTAACAAATGGCGTGTGGGTCTATGGACAGAGTCAGTACAATTCCACGCCTGCCATGTTCATCATCAATCCAGGTGACCCGGAGCCCCTTCCAGTGCCCTAAACCCTCATCTATCAAGTCAATCACTAACACAGGACCTTGGGATCCAATCTACCCCGTCGCAAGGCTATTTGAAGATGAAAAAATTATTCCAGGCTCACGGTGTAAATCAACATTGAATTTTGCTAAAATGCTCATGAATATTTTGGTCGTTATTACTTAAAACGATGCATTCCTCGACTGCATGTTAAACTGAATTGGCTCAAGTGCTTAAGTATTTTTTTAAAATCACAGATTTTTAGGTGAGTTTCAACTTGATGAAACATTCATGAATTTGAAATTCTATTAAAAGCATTGGAAAGCTTTCAATAACACTGAAAGTGAAATAGTAAGACAAAAATCCATTATACTTTAAAATCCGTATGCTGTAAATTCAGGCCCAAGAGTACTCTTTGGAACTAAAAACACTAACTAGCTACTAGAGTTGGAGCAAGATGTTTACCCCTTTGAAACTTTAGTTTTCTCATCTGCAGAATCAGAGAAGTAATAATATCTATGCCATGGGGCTGTAATAATCTACTATTGGTAGAGCATCTTTTGCTAACCTGGCAAAGAGTAGGTGCCTCAAAATTTCTACCTGGCATCTGACACTTTTATAATGCACACTGGAAAAGATGCTACAAGAAAACACACTGCTATGTTCACATCAGTTGTATACTGGGTGGAAAGTTACTTTTGCTGTTTTTTATGCATTTTAATAACTGCAAAATTTTTGCATCATGAAGATGGCTTATGTTTTACCATACTGGGAAAAACTGTATAGAAAAAGAAGCTGAGAATTTCTTGTACCTACCACTCTGTTCTCTCTCAACCCCAGTCGCCAATAAGTCAGGCTCTCCGAGGCTGATATCATTGATCCGCGTTCCCACACACTCCATCTGGAGGACTTTACACCACTCGTCTGCCTCAAGATCTGTGGAAATGGCCAGAAGATGAAAAAGTACGCTCAGCACCTACCCACAAGCCAAAAACAAAAGCTCCTTTGCCTCGAGACAAACCTGATTCACAAGCAAAGGTCTTGGAGGTATCGTCATTGAAATAAATCCCTATGGCGTGTTTCTTGGTGCTCTTTGGCAATCGAGCTACATTCTTCACGTTGTTGAGTTCTGTAACCTGAAAAAGGAATAATTGAAAGTTTGGCCACACATCCTGTGTGAATCTTTCTAATCTACAGCACCAGGGCTGAGATCTAAAATAGAAAGCCTTTTCCAGGCTCATTACAGTCCAAGTTTATGTTTGTAATCCCATGAAAAAGTTATTAGAATTCCAACAAGTTAAAACCATCTACCCCCTTCAGTGCATCCCATGGTGAGTGTCTTTACACTAAGGTGTATTTATAGTTATGGGAAGCCAGGGGAGTCCTAAGTCCAGTTGGTATGATGGACTTAGGACTGAAACAAAGGTCTTTACCCAGGTTTTTCAATTCATGAAGAGGGGAGTGGCTCTGAGGTTAATGACTGTGACAGTCCTGGGAAGAACACGGGTTCTGTGAGCTGGGCTCTGCAGGAAGAGTAACTGCCCAACACAACTCAAGGCAGTATCTAATGTTTGCAGTCAGTGCTTCAGCTCTGATGTGCGATCTTTTATGCCCAGGGAAGTCATAGCCTCTTCTCTCTATGCTTGATCCCAGCCAACAGCATGGAGCCTGGCTCACACACACTTCTCTTCTCTGGAGCTATGGGGGTGGCAACACGTATCTGCCATCAGCAGCAACTCAGTGCATGAATTTGGTTGCATAAAGTCAAGCAAGGGGATAAGGAAAAGTGCTAGCCAGCTCTGTAACTATCAACCCAGATTTGTCTTTAACACATAGAAAGGCTTATAAATAATCTTTCTCTATTAAATATCATAAGGGACGGTAAGTGGAGGTAGGTTGGAAACTTCACAAAGGTAGAAAATTTATTTCATCCCTTCCGAGCACCCCCACTGATGAGGATGGGGCAGTCGACGTACCCCTGAATATTTCTTTTTGTGTCACAGGGAGAGTGCAGGGAGGCTCAGGGATGAACCACGACTTGAGGGTCAAATCATATATCCCACCACAAAGTCAGCACAAATTTCTCTATCAGTGCAATGGTTTATGTACCTTCACTATCTCTGATCTACCCTTAGCTACTCAGTGGCTATGAGCCTTCTGTTTTAGAATCTGGGAACACTGCCCTGCTCCGACCAGTAGGAAAGCTGCTCCCCATCAGACACTGTCCCTGTCCTTCCCTCTCCCACAAGGCTGTGGTCCTCCTAGCACTGCCTGAAACACATGGTGCTGGGTGGACCCCCAGCTGCTCTGGGACAACAGCATATTTGGTTCTTGCCAGAAAGGCTTAGGTGGCTTCAGGGTGAGAATTTACAAGATAAATAAGCCTTTCACACTGACAAGCTTAACCTCCCCTTAATATATCTCTTTTGTGCTGCTGTGCAAAAGAATCTGCCTCCCATCAATCTTCGCCTGCAGTGATACTGGGCCCTTCTCCCAGCTGTTACTCCAAATCCAATAACTGCCTGGCTCCAGAAGGAGGTGGGAACAGAAATAAATATCCTCCACGCACATGCTAATCTGGTTATTTCATTTCCTTGGTCTCCACTTCCATTGGCCCTTGTTGTAGTATAAATGCAAATGTATTAGCACACAGTGCTCCTGGGAAGCTCGTCCCATCAGCTACCTCAGGTCCCCCAGACTTGGCCAGATGCAACAATTAATTTGGTTTATTTTTGTGTCACCGCCTCAATACAAGCCACTTTCATCTTGCAATAACTTATTTCTGTCCCTGTTTCCGTTTTTGACCTAGCAATTCACCATGCAAACAGTAGATGATCTCTTAAAAATGTAAGGCTGATTCTGGCATTTCCATGCATGAAATAAAACTACCAAGTTTCCCATCACACTTGACACACACACCCCAATCCTTTGGTTCAAATGACCCTGTGGGCTCCCGGCTTTCTATCTCAGCAAACACAGGACTCTCTGCTGCCTTCCCCAGGTTTGCTATGTTCCAGACAAGCTGGGGACCTTATTCAGTTCATAGGAGGTCCGTGTCTTCCGAGCACAGAGCCCTCCTTACTCAATCCCTACCTCACTCCCACTCACCCTAGAGTCTTAGTTTAAATTTCAGTTACCCACAGAAACACTCCTGGAAACGCCACCCCAAAATCTAATCAGGCTAGAAGTCACACCACTCAATGACTTCCTGTGTTTGTCCCTCATGACCTTCCTATGGCTACGTAAGTTATTAGTTTGGTGTCCTTGCCTTGAGTGACAGTTCCACGGAGCTAAATGTTTTCATTTTGCTCACCGTTGCACTGCCTGAGTCTAAATACAAAGCTTGTCTCATAAGGGGAAACTCAATGCCTATGCATGGATTCTAAGAGCTAAAGACCAAACTCACCCACAAATTTACTGGCGTGGAGCTTTTTCAGGGTGAATACCCTGTGCTGCGTTTTTCCTCCAGGAAAATTTCACTTATCCTTTGAGCCTGCTTCCCCTGGGAAATCTGTCATAAGTTTACCATGAATAAACTAGCAGCATCTCTCTTCTTCTGTGCGTGACGCATAATGCTTGGTTTTCTTGTCTGCCACTGTAACTCATCTACTTATTCTTTCAACCCCCACTGGAACTGAATAACCTAGCAATGGCTTCTTGGCAGATGACATCAACAAAAAATAATCTTACTGAGAGCCAGTGCTTTTGACCCCCACGGCACACACTGTGTCTTGTATTTTCATATAGAATGTCTCTTTTGTTCTTTACAAAAGTCCCAGAGATATGTGTTATTATTACCAGCACTTTTCAGATAAGGAAACCGAGATTGAGAAAGGTTATATGCAATCATTTCATGGCCAAAAAGTGGTGGGATCAACATGTCAATGAGGCAGATTCTTCCCAAAGCCTGGGCTCCTGCAGCATCGGAAATACTAATGATAAACACTTGAAAATTCCAGCCAAAAAGATCTTCAGCACCTCAAAATCATCTCCCAGTTGAGTACTTCTCTTTGCACAATGGTTTCTTTCAGGGCAGAAGCAGGGCTCATGTGTGCCAAGTTTTATGCCCACCCACTACTGAGACATTATGAAAGAGAAGTCCACTCTAGCCTGAAACAGCCACGACTTTGAAATATGTCACTTCATTACATATCCATTAAGGGAGAACAGGAAGCTATAAGTCACTTGAAACTGTCAGGAAGCGCAGGGGAACTGTGTGAGTCAGAACACAATTACCCACTTTGGAAATTGGTTTAGGTAATAAGCCACACGACACCCCCGCTCAGAAAATGAATGCTCACAGAGTGGGGCAGTGTCGTGACTGTACACATCACACAACCACTGGCTCCAAAGCCATTGTCTGTGCTTAGCTCACACTCACTCACGCTCATACAAAAGCCTTGCTTTCCAAAGAGCAGAAATATACACCTCCTCTTAACAGGACTTTCCTCAACATGTGCACCAAAATAACAATTGTAAGGAACATTTGCAGAAATCTCTGCAAGTCACACCCAAATTTCATAAAGTCTACTCATTTTTCACTTCGTTTTGCAAAGAGAAAAACAAAGCAGGTTCTATGGTCTAATACTTCTTTCATGAAAGCCAGTCTGCTCAAGTAGCTGCACTTCTAAGGCACACAGAGGGCGTCATAAAGTCTCAGGCTCCCACTCAATAGTGACGTTATCAGAAACGAGGTGGACGTTTGTGCACCTGGCCATCTTCACCCTTGGGTGAGAAGCTCAACAAGAACACGTGTTCACAACCGTGTGAGTGGCATTATGTGTTCATCCAGCCTGAGGTTTGGATTCTTGAAGGTCCTTCCTGAGTCTGAGGTCATGGATTTTATTACTCTTTGCAGCACAAAAATAGAGAAATGCAACACTAGACAGAGATGCACAGGGTAGAGGCTACACAGCCTCCCAGTGCTCCTCAGCATGCACGCAGACAGGAAGCTGTCACTGGACTCTCATATCCTAGAAACACATATAGTACAGAAATCGGGACCATGATACACGCCTCAGTGGTCCCATAAGATGAGGTCTTCCTTGAATATGGATTTATACTATTTGATGCTACGTTTCAAAATTTTGTGTTGTGAACAGCAAGATGTGCTCCAAACAATGAGAGTATCTCCATTAAAGTAACACAAAAGTCCCTACCTGTGAATGATGCTGTTATCTCCTTCAGGTAAGTGGGAAGTGAACCCAGGTAACTGAAACCTGAGGTAACATTCCAGGCCCAAGAACACATGTCCCTGCTGCTTCCCCAGCAGCCACACTCCTGCATTTATCTCAGAGTGGAATCCTTTGGATCAGAATCCTGATTTCTGGTTGTCACATTCCCTTTCCTTTTTATGAGCCTTGCTGGTGCAGATACCAAGACACATTCCCTTCCAAAAAGAATGAGACTGTATCCTCGGAGAGCTGGAGAGGTGAGGAATAAGCTTATCCATTCCAGAGGTCAAATGGGGGGAAAGACAGCCAATAACCACGAGTTGAATCTTCAGGGAGTAAAGGCTCATCCCGAGCCTGGCACTGGGGCTCCTCACAGCCTTGGACAGACTCCACCTCTGTCCACCCTAATGAGCTCCAGTTTCCACAGACTATAGACTGTAACCATGGATAATCCAGCCCTCCTCCTCCATCTCACTGAAGTGAGAGTCCTGCCTCTTCTCATGGACTCCTCATCATTTCCTGCCCCTAAGTAGCATGATTAGTCTTAATAATCTAATCATAAATACAGTAATTTTACCAATCTTTATTTTCATTCTGATCTCTCCTCCTCTTGAACAATAAATGTTTTGCTAACGACATTTCTTAATTAGAACTCTCTTAGTTGTAACTGTTCTCATTAGATATAGAATATAAGTTTAGAATCACAAAGTGACTCAAAGCCCATGTAAAAAATGTGTGTCAACACTGTCATTTCCACATATTTGTGAATGTTTCAGTTTTTCTTCTGCTACCAATTGACCATTTCAGTCTATTATATTTGGAAAGGGTACCTGCTATGAATTCAATCTTCTTAAGTTTAATAGCACATTAAAAAGATCATACATCATGATCGAGTGGAATTTATCCCTGTGATGCAAGAGTGGTTTGACATTTGAAATTTGATCAATGTAATATGCCACATTGACAGACAAAGGATAAAAGTCACAGAGATTCATCTCAGTAGATGCTTGGAAAAAGCATCTGACAAAAGCTAATACCATTTCAAGATTAAAAACAGTCAACAATCTAGGCATAAAAATAAATCAATATAGGTTATACATGAAAAGCTCATATTTAATAGCATACTCCAGTGAGAAATGGAGAGAATCCTCTTAAGATTAGGACTAACACAAAGTTGTTCATTCACAACACTCTTAATATGGGGTGAAATATTTTCAAACCATGTATCAGAAAGGAATTGTCTTCAAAATACTCCTCCAGCTCAATAACAAAAAGAAGGCAAGTAAAAATTGGTAAAGGGTTTGAAAATAACATCTCTGCAAAGAAGACATGTAATGCACTACAGGAAAAGTGTCTCAGCATCACTAATCATCAAGCACATGCAAATCAAAACAGCAGTGAAGCATCCCATTTGTTAGAATGGCTATGACCAACAGCACTGAAAAACAGTGTCAGCAAAGATCTGGAGAAACTGGAATGCTGTGGGTTCAATGGTGAGAACATAAAGTCATGCCACAAAGATGGATAACAATGTGAAGGTCTTTCCAAACATGAAAAGCAGAACTACCTACAATTGAGCCAACCTGCTTGGGGTTATTATCAAAAGAACTGCAAACTGGATCTTGAAGAGATACTTGGACCTCTATATTTATGGCAGTATTGTTCACATCAGCCAGAAAAGGGAAAACACCCATCAACAGATGAATGAGTAAAAAAAATACGTTATATACACATCATCTTGTCTTATGATACAGTGTGGTGAGTCTTGAAGACTTATACTGTATAACAGAAGCTCATCATAGAAGGGTCACTTGAATAATCCTTTGTACATGAAGTAAACAAAGCCATCAAATTCATAAAAGCCAACAGGAGGATGGTGAGAGGTTGCCAGAGGCTGAGGGGGAGGAGAAAGGGAGAGTTGCTATTCAGTGGGTATAAAGTTCCAACCACACAAGATTACAGTGTTCTAGAGATCCACTGCACACCAATGTACATATAATTAATGACACAGTACTTAGGATACACTTGAAATTTCATTAAGCAGGACTAGAAATTTAGCTCAGTGGTAGAGTTGTTTGTCTAGCATACCTGAGGACCCAGATTGGATCCCTAGCATTACATTAAAAACATATGTTAATAGGCTAGGTCTGTGTGTGTGTGTGTGTGTGTGTGCGCACGTGCTCCTGAGTGCATGCATAATTAACACACACATCAGGAAGACTACTAGAAGGTATAAAAAAGCATCCACAATTTAAGATGCTTATTTGCTTTCTGATATACTTCTTTTCCATTGGCAGCTTCTGATACTGCAAGTGGGACTGGTTTTCTATGAACAGTAGCAATAAAGTTTTCTCTTACAGTGAACTTCTTTAAATGAAAAAACTTTACTGATTTAAAGCGTAATATAAAGTAAGTAAGAGCAAAGGAAATATTGATCGTGGCAAAATTAATGAGTAGATAGCAATGACTAAACATTAAGGAAAATATAAGTCTTGCTCCTTGCCTAACCTTACCATTATACAGTTGACTTTTCCCTTACATTCCTACTGAGGGCAGAGCTCTGTGGAGAGCCACTAAGGTCATAAAATCACTCAGAACAATCTCCTTTTCTTGGTAGAGGCATGACAATAGATTTCAATGGAAACATGACTATCTTTGTTCCCGCCTTTCTCCCAAAGCTCCCCTAACTGAAGGCTGTTGCTTGTTTCCTTTGTGCCTTTTTCACCCACCTCACAATTGCATCTCTCAAGCGAGAAGGCAAATAGAGCCTCAGCAACAAAACCTGAAATGTATCTGAGAGTTATGACTTAAAGGATTAAAGAACGGCTGCAAACAGGGGTTGGATAGGAGATCCAGTTACAAATGTTCACTGCCATGGCAAGGGTTAGTTAGTCAGCAGAAAAGCAAGAAAAGTCACTTTGTGATTTATGATGCATATAAATTAAAATTTAAGTATTTTAATCTACTCTTTTATACAGTATCCATGTGGAAACCCTATCAGACCAACTCAAGAATTTAAAATAATTTTTATTTTCTAGGCTTCTCCCTGGTTGGTCTTTCAATTTAATTATGTGATCTCTTCGATCTCTCAGATTTCTTTTCTTTTTTTTTTCCAGAACATATTTATGATTACTAATTCCTGAGCTCTTTCTCTTGAAATGGAGGTAAAATTTTTAGCTGTCAAAGAAGACCAGAAACGTCTGTATAACGAACGCCTACATGAGGTCCTTGGAAATGTTTAATTTTCTCCACAAACCTGGTGGTAATTTTTAATAACTCAGGTTGACTACATATTTGTGCAGAGTTTGGATATGCTGGGCTTACTTCCTACAGAAATTATCATGGAGTAACATAATTTTAAAAAGATAGTGGCTTCTTGCAAATTCAGTTGGCAAAAGATAATAAAATCTCAATAGGACATTTGCTTATGAAATAAAGGATATTTCTGGGCAGGGGGTCAGAAAAGATGCGGTAAAGATAAGCTTTGGAAAAATGATTCACTGATTTGGAGACATTTAAATCAAATTGCAGGCAAATTCCACGGTTCACAGCAACCTTTGTTTTTTGTCCTGGATTATTTGCTCACAATGATCCATTGCCTCCCAATACTTGGAATGTTTTCCTGACTCTGGAATTGGCCACATATCTCACTTTGGATGACAGAATGAGAGCTAAGCTGTGATGAAGAAGATTCCTTTCAAATGCAGTTGTCATTAGGAGGTTCCCCTCTTCTTGACTTTGACCATTCACAACATTCTCCTCCTTCGTGGACATGGGAGCAGACACAACCTCAACTGAGTTAAACTAATCCACCTGCGCTTAGCACACCCACGGCTGGTACAGACCCCTTGTATATCAAAGGCAAGGTGAAATATGAAATGAAATATGTTGTTATGCGCTACCAAGATATGGAAGACTTACTATAGCAGACGTCTAGTACACCCCAGTAACACCCTTTTTACCAACAAATTTTATAGTTCTTCTTTCAAATCTCATATCATTATAACAATGTTGCCTCTTTTATGAAACAGACTAGATTTGCTACCCAAATAGTAATCAGCAAACTCTACTAGAACATTGGTTCTTGGTTCTGTTTTAGGCAACTGAATCATTCGGATTTGTCAAAGGAAGTATTACACAGTGTCCCATTTTACAGTAGACCTAGTATAATTACATGAAGAAATAAAGCCCATCCTACCTATCCCAACAGTAAGCTCTAAATCCATTTCTCAGAATGAGGCCCACTCATTTAAATCAACCACTAAATACCAAATTGTTACCATTCAACAGCATTGGTACTATTATTAAACAAATTACAGAGTGGAATAAAGTGAGAATCAAAGAAGCAATTATGAGCTTTGTGCAGCTGCAGTATCGTAGCCAGTAAGGTTTATCCAAGGTGGGATTATTGCTAATCAAAAACTTTTCCCAATACCCCATCATGATGACTTGGAATACAGTCAGCATTGGCAGTTTTTGACAGTTTCAATGGAGTCTGAAAAAAAAAAGTAATTATGATTTCACACATAAAAAGAAAAGGTGGACCTACATACAGCTGTGTAACTTCTGACCCCGAGATGACCGTGCCTTTCCCAATACTATATTTATAAAACAAACAATATAAGAAATGAATGAATATATGATTAGCCAGCTAAGTGAATGCACATCATTCTGGAGACAATAGGCTAAAAGATATTTCTAAAAATTAAAAGCTTTAGAAGTCTTTCATTATTATTTATCTGGTACCAGGTATCGAACTCATGACCTTGGGCTTGCCAGGTTGACATTTATGCTGCTGAGCTAAATCTCCAGCCTCAAAAGCTTTAGAAGTCTTTAAAAATGTATCACTTGGGAGAAAGAAAACCCAGAAGGTAAATTTATTTTTCCAAGTAAAAATGAAGCAATTTTCAATTCAGAAGGAGGTAATTTGAACTAAACTCATCTTTCCCACTTGAACCTTAAAATATTAAAGAAAACTCAATTCTTTGGTACAGTTGCTTTGACATGGGTACACGTGACACCTATGGTGTGCCTTTTCCACTCAAATGAGATTCTGCCAGACACACTGAGCGTAGGAATCTGCAAATCAGGACCTGCGGACAGAGCCCACCTGGCACAGAACAGGAACCTCGAGACTGGGGTCTGCGAATTTTCACTTCTGCACACATCTTGGCAGCCTCCACCCAACTGACATATATAAACCATTTCAGTCAGTACCACCTCTTCTGCTCAGTCCTGCACAAAGAAAGCCACCTTTGTCACCATGGATTGGTTTTGCCTTTTCAAAACTATGTAAGTGGAATCATGCCACGTGCATTTCCAACACCTGCATTTCTTCGCTCCAAATCATGTACGGAAGTCACCCACACTGTTCACTACCTGAGAAGTTTCGGGTTCTGCTCTGTATTCTGTTGTGGGGATAACATTTTATATTTTTAATTTTTGTTTGCAGTCATTTCAGATGTGTATCTTACAAAAAGCATTTTAACTACTAAGAAGATTATATTTGAATTATTGTATTTATATTCAATTGAGTGTTTTATTTTTTGGCGTGGGTGTTAAATTTATTCTAATTAATTAGTATGAGTGATATGTTTGGAACTATTTCAGTTCAAATTCCTTTAATGTTTCATTTAAAATAATATTTTCTTCATTTTCTGTTTTCAGAACCCTTTTTCTGGGAATGATTTTCTCTTCCAAAATTTTACTTTGCAGGTTATTAAACAGAGAAATGCTGGAAGAATACAATAAACAGCAATGTTGCCTAGATCAACACCATCAAGTTTCACTGTCCTTTCACTTGCTTTAACTCACATATAATCACATATAAATGTAATATATGACACATATATACAAGATATATAATGCACATTTATTGAATGCTTTGGTTAAGAATATTTGATTGGTGATGTGTCTTCAGAAGGCAAATACCAACTTCCCTCTGGACACACAGGGAGTCGGGGTTCAAGATGACATTTCAGGCACAAAAGCTACCCACGTCTTTCTTTGTGCATACTTTAAACCATCTCTAGGTCACTTACGATGCCAAACATAATGTAAATGCTACGTAAATATTTATAAAAAGGATGAAGTCAGTATACGTTCAGTGCGGCACAGCTACAGCAGGCCTAACTCTGCAGTGCTAACTTGCTGGCCTCAGTGTTACCTTTTCTGTTTTTTCTGTGCATGGCTGGGCAAATCTCCAGATGTGGAGAACACCGACAAGGAGGCTGATGACCCTGTCAGAACATCCCTGCCTTGGCAAGGCTTGGCTTGGGCGTGGTGAGACAGCCGCTGTGACTCTCCGCAGTGCAGCAGAGAGTGCCCTTCTTGTCACTGGATGCTCTGACGTCACATGGACATCTTATTTTGCAACCTCTTCACATCCACTGAATGCTCTCTCTGCATCAAATATTCTTCTCCTTAGCCTCTCTGGTTTATGAATCGAAGCCCACATACCTACAAGTACGACTGCCAGATTCAAGATAAATATGCATGGACTTTTTTTCTGAGCCTTCCCTTATTTCTGAGATCCCAAGACTCACTACAATTATTCACTTTTTAAAAAATATGTAGCTACAGATGTCATGAGGTAAGCAAGTCCAACACTCTACAATGTGTTCTGCACATTCAGCAGACATAAATACCTAGCACACCGCTCCTGTGCCCTTGGGGACAGCCTCAATCTCAGCTTCTGACTTAGATCTGTCGGTAGGAAGGGGACTCTTCTCAAAGGCAGCCTGCTTGGCTGGGAGCTGTGCCTCTGGGTCTTCCCATGGTCACTAGTCTCTTGTAGGTATTTCGGCAGGGACAGTCATCCAGCTGGTATTACAACCACAAGTTCCAGCTATACTTATTTAGAACGTAGGCCACCAAGCACAGGTAGATACTGGGGACATTTCTGGGACTGACTGCAATGATTAATCTTGATTGGTTTGTGAGAGGCTGAGCAGATCAACAGAGCTCACTTCCTGGTGAGTCTGGGTGGGTGGGTGGCATCACCTCGGAGATGACATCTGTTTCCTGGTTCTCCCTTCTCTGGTTCTTCCCTGCCTTCTGTTTTTCAGATGCCATGAGTTGAGTAGCTTTTCCCTAATGGTTTTCCACCATGACTTTTTTTACCTTGGACCCAAGTGATCATGGACTGAGACCTACAAATGTGTGAGCCAAAATAAACCTTTTCACCTTTAAGTTTCAAATGTCAGACATTGTGTGATAGCAATGGAAAGCTGACCAAAACACCTATTGAGAAGGGACATGGGCGATGCTTTGCTCTTAAGACAGTTGGTGGCACTTGCATTCTGCTGAGAGCAGGACTTCACGTCCTCCCACCCCCTCCCCATCATGGCACCGTCCCTTCAGCAGGGACTCTGGGCAGATGGCAAAGGCGGCCTGGCTCGCCTTTCCTGGAAGAATGCATGAAGTGACAGAAGGCTACCTCGTTGGTGGTGCGCCTTTTGGCTCTGACATGCGATTATGTTGGATGGCACTGCCTGAAAATCAGTCTGAAAAACTTGGATTCACTCATCTCAAGATATATTCCGACTGTGTGTGTGTTCCGCCCACACACTCTGAGTTCCACGAAGAGAAATGGCTCTCTTCCCCCAGCTGGAAGGAATAAAGCTGCCTGTGGAGTCCTGCTTAGCTAGTGGACAGCTCCTGGGGGCTTCCAGAATACTGCTACACAGCGCTCTGCAAACCCGGCCTCCTTCATCTAATGACCTTGCTGGAAGTCATTATACTGCAGGAACACAACTCCACGGAAAGAAAGCCAATAAAGAATTGACCTTATCATTTTAAAATGCCGACTTCAGCTTATCTTGAAAGCTTTCACATCCGTCTCATTTACAGTCTTTTCTGTTCCACGGAACAAGTACCCTCCTGCTCAGAGATCATGCTTGCTCTTCCTGGCCCGGGAACACATCTGCCTGAGGCCACTGGTTCACTCTTCCCACGATGCTATCCCTGACTTCTCCACTGGAACCTACCCCTGTCCCTCCAGACACCCCTTCTCCTAGTTTATTTTTCTCCCCAGAGTTTATCAAGTACACCAACACACTACACATTCTAACCTTCACATTTTCTGTGTGTCTGCCTCTTTCTCCCCCTCTACTTGATAGCTGGCTCTCTAGTGCCGAGCACTGTGCCCTGCACAGGGTTCACCCTCAGTAAATGCTTGTTGAATAAAAGCTTTCTCCTGATATGGATGTTGTCATCTTTCCACATAAAACAAGGAGACCGAGGCACAGTGATGCCGCTGTCCTGCTCAAGGTTAGACCATTCCCATCCAATGACACAGATACTGAGTTTGACTGGCCAACAGACTCCACAGAATGGTTACTTAGACCAAGTTTGTACCAACACCTTTTGGTGTTCACCAAACCTAATCTACAAGGTTCCCAAGGCTCCCCCACCTATGAGGTGGGCTGCCTGCCTTGCCTGAGAGCCAGTGAGAGGACCTGGCACAAGAGACCCTGCCAGAGCATTGCATCAGCTACAGCAGGGGCAGCTCCACACAATCCTCAACTCCCCTGCCAAGCACTGGGTTTTAAGAACTGCACAGCAATGTGTTACCTAACTTTTTCACAAGTTTCCAACGAGCTGCCACTTTTTCCCACTGAGCGTACGAGAGTGCTAAGGCCTGCAGAGGCCCACTTGTTCACACCGCTGCTGAACAGCAGAGACAGTAATTCAAGCAAGATAAGTAGGCTGCTCTTTACTCAGCCACCAGACACCCGCAAACAAATACAGAGTCAGGATCCAAGAAGCCATCATCCTGGAGTTGGGTCTAGCTCCCTGCTTACCACTAACCCACCTTTTACTTTTTTCTCGACTTGTATTTTGTGTTTCTCATCTAAGAGAAACGATGTGACATCTGAGCCCGTGTGTGTGATTTGTTTCACTTAGCATTCTGCTCTCAAGGCACATTCACTTCCTATAAATAACTCGAGCTTATCTTTGTTTATGGCAGAGTAGTGCTCCAGTGTGTGTAAATATCACATTTTCTTTATGTACTCATCTACTGGTGGATATGCAGATTAATAATACACTGTGATTTGTGTGGCCACAAATGTGGGTAGACACGTGTCCCTGTAACATGGTGTCTGTGACTCTCTGGGGAAGACACCTGGAATGGGGGATAGCTGGGTCCAATGGAATTCCAGTTTTAGTTTTCTGAGGAAGCTGCGTACTGATTTCCACAGTGGATCAAGACAACATTTGCACCCCACGGTGGCATCTGACAATGTCTGAAGATGCTTTGGGCTGGCGGATAGGACAGGAAGGTGTGTTGTCAGAGGACAGAGGATGCCTCGTGTGACTCACGGAAGTGCCCGTCAGTGGACACTCAGCACAGCACACCCAGGAGTCAGACCTTACACCACGACCTTAGCTTGAGAACCAAGGTCCCAGAAATGGGGTCAGAAAAACACACAGCAGAAAATCAGACAAAAAGTGGCAAATACCTGCTTTGAGTGCAGAGCCACAATTACTGAG